ATAGAAGCAGGCTTAAAAATATTGGTTGAAAATATTTTCGGACATGATAAAGTTTTAGAGTTTGTTAATAATGTAACTGATTTTTGGCCAATGATAAGATATTCCAAATATTGATACTACCCATAAAGGAACTCAACATTCATTAAAATTAAGGACTATAGCTGCTAAAACTAGTGGCATATTACAAAAATTATTTGTTACTCTATTAATTGTTTGCCCACATTCAATGACGACAGAAAGAGTGATTTCACATTATAATCAAATAAAAACTACTCATAAAATTAGCTTATTAGAAGAAACCAACGGAGTTGGAACCACATTCTATGATCCTCGACCAGCTGTTATAGCATTTTTAAATACAAAAGAAATACGCTATCGMTAACCTGATTTGTGCACGTATAAGAATCGTGACTTCATTAGCAAGTTTTTCAGAAAAAAAAACCATTTTAGCCATTAATGAAATACATGTATTTTTAAATATAATATYATAAAAGAACAAAGTTTGTATTAATTTTATAATTTGTTGTTTTTTTTTAATTAATAAAGGTTGGTTAATTTTTTTTAAGTGGACACCTAGTAATATATCACTAAAAAATGCCCTGGTGATTAATACATTTTCTTCAATTGTATGGAACCTAATCATTAACTTTTGATACAAAATTTTAACCATATTCTGAACATATTTGTGGTAATGTTATATAATTTTTAAAATTATTTAAATATTTTTGTAATGCTTTTACAAAAATAATTTCTTTAGAAATTTTTAAATACTTTTCAGCACTAATTTCTATTGTTACATCATAAAATATCTTTAATATCATTTTAGATTTTGCTATAACAATCCAATCTTGTTCTGAAAGAGAGTTTAAACCAGAAATGTTCAAAATGTTGATGYGGCGCATGTCACCACAATTGGTTCTTTTAATTCAAATATCCTATCTAACATGTCGTAAGTTGAGTTCCAATGGGTGGGACAATCTTGTTTCAATTTTAAGATGGATGATCTTGTTTGTCTTTCTAAGTCCTGCAATTTACTTAAACCGTGTGAACTCTTTTTAAAATATGTTACTATATCTTTGACATGACAGATGTCGCCATTCACATTTTTCAATTRCAGCTTTCATGTTTGCCGCATTATCATTCACTACATGTTGATTTAATCCCCACACAGCCACAGTATTCTTAACCCAGGATCACTCGCGCGTTGTCTTTTACGCAATTACTCGCGTGTTAGATTTTTTCTAACAATCAATTAGTTTATTTAATTTCACCAAAACACAAATTCCTTTWTATATAATTTATATTTATAGCATTATATTGGTTTGGAGCAAAGGCTACATTGATTCTGTGTAAATTTATTTTTACGTATTGGACAGTATGTACATCGTGRCTTTCCTTGAGGASTGTTTTCCTTTGGTGGTGCTTGAAATCCTGTAATATTTTGTATTTTCTGTCGAATTGATAATCCAAGATTAGTTATTGTTGCACGTTTTAACAAATGGGGTTTTGTTAATATTTTGCATAAGTCTTTAAGAAATTTTCTTCTAGTAAATATATCATTCGTATTCGTTTTATAAATTATTTGTGAATTTATTGCTCCAATATTCAACAGACTAAAAAAAATTGTGAATGGCCAAAGGTTACTTATTCTTGTTACTGAATATTCACATTTTAGTCGATCTACTACATCAACTCCACCTTTGGTCAAATTGTAGAAAGTTATTACTTCTGGCTTTTTTAAATCACCCGAATCTGGGTCAATATAATCATCACGATGCATTGTTAATAACATTAAAACATTTTTATTTTTTTTAGGAATATACGAGCAAAGAAGACTGTTATTTGTATGTTGTCCATACGCAAACATTTTACTTTGTAATGGACGTGTTTTTATATTAGTAAAATCTGGTGGAATCTCTCTTTTGTTTTTTCGTAATGTTCCTACAATAGTAAGCCGGTGGTTTGCATATAATTCATTGGCGAGAGGTACTGATATAAAATAATTTTCCATTGCAATATTTCTCCCGGATTTATCGATTGGTTCTATTAGACGTTTCACTACACAAACTGCACTATTACCTTTTTGAAATGGACTGTGGGCTGTTTTCCAGCATATATTTCCATGTTGGAAGTATAAAATGTTCTAGCATCAACAAGAGCAAATATTTTGATGCCATATTTGGCGGGTTTGTTGGCTATATATTGCCTAAATTTWCACCTTCTGCGAAATGCTTCTAACATTTAATCGATAGTAGCGTATTCACTTATTGTGTAACTTTCTATGCATGATTTTTAAAACTGGTAAAAAATATATCTGATTGGCGCTAGATTGTCATGTCTTTTTTCGCTCTAATCTACTATTACGRTCATCAAAACGAATTGCTTGTACGAAAGTATGAAAACGTCTTTTAGACATAGTTGCCGAGAAAAATTCTGGAGCTGTACCGTCGGTAGACCATAATTCATCGGTGTTCAAATGCTGAGYCATTTCGTACCACCTTTTCCAACATAACAAGGGGTATTCAGTAAATTATTTGAAGCCGGGATATGTGTATTATCAGAATCACTATTACCTGACTGTTCTGATTCTGTGTCATGATTTGAATGCTCAGATTCTGTATCCGTTTCTGAGTTAAGATCACTGATGTTTGTATCTTCATCTTCTTGAAACCATTCTATTACTTTATTTATAATTTTATCGTTGTTCATTATTACAGTAAACAATTACAAAGAATACAATATCATAAAATAACACTCGACACTAAAAATAATGATATTTGTTTGAAAATGTTAATTCGAATTTTACACACATACAAAAATCACCACGTAAACACTCGCGCGTTAGATTACTACCAACAATTTACTTACCGTCAACTTTAAACTGAAAATAATTGTCAAATAATGTTATCTTATCTTCCATTATGATATTATTAGTTCTATAGTGCTATAGATAAAGCATTGATGGAAGGAGAACTATTTATCATTTAATCAATTATTGTTGTTCTAAAAATAAGTTGAATGTTAGATTATTTCTAACAGTGCGAGTTATCGCGGGTTAATGAACAGATGATTATAGACGTCCATCCATCGGTTGTCAAATATATTGCTGATACATTCTCTAGTTGGCGCTTTACGTTTGCTGCTATCTCGTATTTATGGGACAATAAACTATTTGAAACGGTTTTTCTCGAAGGAATCATATAGTTAGGTTACAACATATTTATTAAAACTACAAACATTTTACAGCCTCAACCAGCAGACACAATTTYCGTTTTATGGAGATTTCACTGTATAKGCCATAACAAAATTAAATGCCTTTTAACTACTAAGATAATTATGAAATGGCATACAAAAATCTATAGGTACTTATATACCCTTCTAATGTGTAATGGATTTAACAATAAACGTGTAGGTATATACATAAAAACATACGTACACATCTGATAACAGTTATAATAATAAAAATAAACTAAAAACGAATAATTATAAGTTCAAAAGTTTTTGGACCAGGACACCAGGTTGTACAATATTAAAAAAATACATAAATATGTTATAAAATAGTGAATTTCTAGATAGCCCTGGGAAAAATGCAATATTCTAGTCCAAAAGTATTAAGTATATAGTCTATAAGAGGGCATGTAAAATAGTATAAAAATTGGGAATCTTTGGCTTAAAAAATCTTCTTTTATATGCATTGCTTGGTAACTTGATCTTCCCATTTAACCATTCCCTATTTAACCCAGTGGTTTTCAACCTTTTTTGGATCGCGATCCCCATTTTTTATTTTTTTGTTATGCGACCCCTTCAATAAAATTTTGTTTTATTCATTAAAATTTTATTTAATTACTGATAATTACATGGTATACAATTTTGATTAATTTACTCTTAAAAATTTAATTAATTATAATTTATAATTCAAAATTATTTTAAAACGTATTGTTAAGCATGTAGAATAAATTAAAATATAAAAAAAA